TTGCACGAACAGTGGCATTGACGTGCCGCTGCCCAGTTTTGGGAAGATCGCAGGGTGGTTTATGGGCGGGGCTGGGCGGTTCTGCATTTCCTCCCCACCTCCATCATCTCCATTTTTCTCACAGCATGATGGCCTGATACGCCCTTGATAGAGGAGGAATGCCCCGGAAGGCTCTCAGTCGTGAACCAGCAAGTATATTATGGTCCGCATCAACAGACAAAACCTCAAAACCACATAGACCACTGTGTTGGTATTCAGAAAATGGTCGAAACCTTTGGGTATTCATTTCTCAAGGGATCTATGGGGATCGTGTTGTACCGGAGTTATAAGTACATCGGACATCGCCAGTGGCCAGGTGAAGTTTGTGGACACGACGGACTTGAACGCCCTCAGTCAGGTGGAGACGCCCGTCTCGAGGGCTCGGGCTAGAACGCGGCACTCGCCACGGTGGTGAAGTCATGGGTGGAGGCGAATTCGTGACGAAGAACGGGCAGATGTCGTAGAAGAACGGGTCAACAAAGAGGCGGAAGGGCAGAGACCGGACCTGTTGGGTCTCCAGATGTAGATGGATTGATATTAAACCCAATGGCACGAACGAGAGGATGGTGAAACCGGAGTCATATCGGAGAGTTTGATCCGCCGATCCCGTGGAGTTTGATCCGCCTTCGGATCGACCGGTTTGGTCCGACTTGGCGATCGGCGATCGGCTCGAGAGGTTCGGAGGTAGAAAAAACAACGTCTCGCTTTGACTCACAGGAAGGGCTCTGGTACATCAGTGTTTGGGTGTTTGGGCCCATGCGATTTCGATGACTTCCATGGACAATTGGGAAGGCGGACGATGTCCGCTGACAATTGGCGCCAGGATTTTGGGCGAACTTGCAGAAAGAAGCTTCGCACGCCGTCCAGTCCGACCCCAGCTTACCGTTCCCAGCTTTGATCCCACAAGGATTTAAAATCTCGGAAGGGCAGTGGTTCCAGATGCCACCCATGCTCCGAGCGCACCAGCGCACTTCTTTGTAAAGCCCAGTTATGTGGGGTTAGCTGGGTCGGCGGATTCTTCCCTGATTCCCAACCTTAGGAGGGTTCTTTCAACGACCGCAATCATGGCGATTTGGTTTGGTTTTGAACAATACCCAGACACTCCATGGGACTGCCAGGCTGCCAAATATATATACCGACTCCCAAACCCACCCCAATGTAGCGGCATAGGCATACACGGAGCATCTGGGATATATAAAAACAAGTACAGTATTATATATGTATTGTATAATACAATTAATTATATATATATACATATTCCGCTGCTCAGAATGGGCCAGGCGATCACCAAGAAGACTCGCTTGATTCACCTTGAGAGTCCGCCCGGCACCTCGAAAATCCTCGAGTGACTCGCACAGCCCCGCAACATGCGGTGACAGTCGTGGGTTTCATGAAAGATGGTGGGTGGAAAGTAGCCAGTCTGATCAGTCTCAAGACTCGGAGATGGGTGAAACATCAGTGGCGGAGGTGTGCTACACTCACATTTTTCTCATATCCGCCGGTGTGCAGTCAGTCTGGGTGGAAAAAGGAAGAAGTGAATGCGTTTCAACACAATCTGGGACTTACTTGGGATCCACAAAATCAGAACTGCATGGGATTTGCTCACAAACCCGTCTCAACACTTCGGATGCCACACATCTCTTCTTGAGGCACTGCTACTGCTTCCCCCAGTGGTCGCAGCATTTCTCTTTCGCCGCAGTGGTCGGGCATGGTGCCAACGGCAACACCGTACGAGGTCAAATCCCAGAATGCGGATTACGGACTTGCGAGGTGTTTGTGCCATTGCACACAAGTGCGGGTCCCTGCGCCGCGCGCGCCCGAAGGATCCGAAGGGGTGGAGCGCAGAAAACAAGTCTTCCGGATGTTTGGTTGAGAAGAAAAGCGGCTGCTGAACCATGGTGAAACAAACACATGTTTGGCCCTATTAGTTGCGATGTTGGAATGGATTTGGGAATAGGGCAAATGTGAAAGATCTTTACATGCCACAATCATAAGAATCTGGGAAGCTCAGGACTATAGGTGCTAGATTATGCATATCTTACATGTCTCTTATTGAAACAGACCCTGTGTTTCCAGACAAGAAACACTGGGCCTCGTTTCAACACAACAAACCAACATGTGCTTGTCTTGTCGCAATTTTTTGCATTCTGGTTCTCTTTGTTTTTGCCTCGACCTGCTTGAAACGGGTGCAAAAGCGTCCTGTTTCCAGCCTCTTTCAGGCATGGAATTCTGGTCTCGGTGGACAGCACGATGATGCCTCCCGTGATTTGCAAACCACTCACCTTAGGTCCGGGCGCCCGACGTGCCGACGGGCCGGCAGTGCCTGGTGTGCTGGCAGGAACCTGCGGATTCGGGCATTCGAGGACCGGTTTTTCTCCAATGAAAGCGGGAAGTACATTCAACTTCAGACCATCCATGTATGCAGTAATTATGGAATAGTTGTCCACACTGTACACTAGGGTCATAAATGGAGTTTTCATGTAGGTCAACGTGTCCATCCGTCGATGGTCTGGGCAGGGAAGTGGAACCTCGGAATGCTGTGCGCGAAGGAGAAGCACGGGGAACCCGTCGAACATGTGCATACTCATAAGATCCTCTCTTCGACCTGGAGGGTCAAGCCGCTTTAGCCAGTTTTGAGAACCTACCTTCGAACTTCGAAGTACCGGTATGTGAGAAAACAACAGACGGATGACCGGAAAAGCTTGCGCTGCAGTTGTCCTGGTTGCTCCATGGTGCTGATTGGAGGTGCCTGGTAGTCATTCTCACCTAAAAAGGTCTAAAGTCTCCAAGAATTCTTGCCCTATACTTCCAAGATCAAAAAACAAATGGTTGAAAAAGGATTGACACAGGTTTTGTATAGTGAAATCCTTGGTAAAACAATGGTATTCCGTAGAGCCTGTTATATAAATTTGTGGCTGGATTCGTAGGGGGTCGAAGCATCCAGCGGGCTCGATGCTCGAAGCATCCAGCTCCGCCATCCAGTCGCTTCAGGTCCGGATCCTCGTTGAAGGAAGGAAGTGGGCTGGCGAACGAAGCACAAATAAAAAGACCTGTTTTTTTTCTTTTTTTTTTTCGAACCCTGGTCATGATGCCACAATTGTATGACACATTTACACATACATTGGGGTGGTTTGCGGGATCAATGTATGGGCATCTATTCCAGACCCATGGATGGGGTCACGGGTCACGGCGTCAGTCCTTCCGCGTCCTTCCAAAGGCGTCGACCTGGTGGTTCACTCGGCCACAAAGTTCTTCTCCGGCCATGCGGACTGCACCGGTGGATTGGTTTGCGTCCGAAGCCCCGTGCGGGCACTCGGCGCGCCCTCGTCCGGAGCTTTCCGGTGATGGGTCATGTCCACGGACATCCAGACTACGGAGTGTATACCTTGTGACGTTCGTAGCGTCTTGTTGCTATATAGTAATGGCCTCCAAGCTAATAGCGATGGCCTCCACCTAATTAGTAGCTCAGGAGTGTACCTATACTTTCATTCAGGTCTCACCTGCGAACGACTGAGCTTTTGAAGAGACCCACTAAAATGGATCCAGCCAGTGGAAAAGGGATCTCAGGAGAGCGCTGCTTTCGGCGCAGAAAAACCCGCATCAAAACCCCCTGGGCCCCAGAAAGCATGAAGTCGTGTGAGACTTTTACTCCATGATGCAGACGACTGCAGCGCATGGAGCCCAGGACTTGGCCCCTTACAGACATTGCTTGGTTGATCATGGGGCATACCCTAAGGGCGGTTTTGGGATGGAACATGCAGGGGATTTGTTTTTCAGCCACCCAAAGCTGTGTGGTTCCTGGTATTGACACGCCCTGGAGTTCTCCACGGTCTCCCGCCACACGACGACGGCGTCGAGACAACCAAGGACTTGGCACATCGCGTGGCCTTTCTGCAGAACGCCGAGGGCACCGCCTTGGCACCCTTCGAGTGCCGAAACGGATGGGAACAACGGACGGCGTATGTGCGCGGGGTAGACTGGGTAACTTCTATCCGGAAGTGATTGAAGATTTCTTGGTCTTACCCCGGGAGTGAAGAGGAAACCAGTCCAGAGTTTATGAGTTGATGCCATTCCACTCTCTCACAGAAGTTCGGGTCAGTCCCAGTCTGAGCGAAACAGCTTGCAACAAAGGAGAAGGTGTTGAGTCACCAGAAATTGGGAACTTCATGGTAGGTACTCACTCTCAAACGTTGAATTGACATTTATTTTCTTTGAAAGACAATAAATTGGACATGATTGACCACATGTGGCCCATCAGTGGGAACGTTTGCCTCCCTCAGACCGTTTGGCCCACAGTGGGTCACTGATCCCACAAATATTCATGCACGCCGATGTGCCGGACCATATGTCATACATGGATGTTTTTCCATGGATATTTTTATGACCCGAATTGGCTGTGAAGTTCAGCACTAACAACCGGTCGACTCAGTGCAACCTTCCCACATTTGTCCTTGCCTTGAAAAATCGTCAGAGTGGGAGACCGGGCTTTGGAACGTCCGGATTCCAGGCCTTTCCTTCATCTGCACAGAGATTTGCAGATTCTTTTCTCCACTCCCACCATCGAGCGACGCGTTTTTTTGTGGGGCAGGGATGGGCAAGGATCTTTGGTCAGAGCAACATGGACATCGGTGGCTGATCCCAGACCATCCACAATATAGTTATACCTACACGGCTGGGTCATTGTCATGGGGTAAGCAAAGTGGCAAGCAACTATCAACTATCCCATACATGGATGATCATGGATGGTTTGGGGATGCAAAGTTGGCTTTTTTCCACGAGATCCAACCGGGAGGTCTTTTCCATTTTGCGAGATCCCGTATCGACTTGGGATTTCGATTGCTTGGTGAATCACTCTATCGCTTTCCATGCGCATCTCCGTCGCTACCCGCTACCCCGACAGATCAACACTCATTTATGTGAAGTTCCGAAGCCATTGGACTCCAACAAGAGAGCTCGAAGCCATGAACCTGTTCAGATGTTCGATGCTTGCGCAGCTGATTCTCGGAAGAACAGCTCCTGCGGTCTACCACGTCCTTGTGGAGCTGGGTATCTCTCCAGCTGAAGCGGAAGACATGGCAACGAACCCCTGCGCTGGACACGGACTGGAATGCGATCACCTTGGGCGACTTGCATTCATGGACTTACAAAATCGACGTCTCCTTGGCTGGACCGTTGTTCTGTGGCCGTTTTTTTCGACGGTCACCCCGCATGACCGGACTCGATCCGGTCCCCAAACGTCGGCTCCACCGGACCGGAACCGGTTTGGGGGACGGATTCCGAGGGTCGACCGCAGATGTCGACTGGACATACTCTAGATCTGACTCGCACTTGCAGAGCTGAGGTCTTCAGGGGAAACTGGCCAAAGAGCTGGGAGAACTTCGGTTTTTGCAGATCCTCCAACTCTCGGAGAACCAACTGGTGGGTGAAATCCCACAGGAGCTGCAGCACCTGGACTCCTTAGTCTGGCTCGACCTCTCGAAGCACGGTGGAATTGTGAAAAACACGGGAGGGTTCCCCAAATCAAGAACGCTTTTAGAATGGGCAGGATATGGCAGGATCCGTGTTTTTTCTTGGGGGGGGCGGGATGAGACACCCTCACTCTCTCAACACCTCGTGGCGAAGAAGTGCTGCGGTTGCTGACGAAGAAGTGCTGCGGACCGGTTGGTCCGTATAGGGATCCCGTGCTGGTGGATCCTTTGAGCGGATGGGTTTCAGCCCTAGAAGTCCGTGGAAGACATGTTTAAAATGGGAACGATCTGCATAATTTGTGGTAAATCCACAAAACATCATCAAACATCATAAAACAAGGGTGGTTCGACTTCTAGGGAAAGTATTGACCTGGAGTCGACCCGTCCGATATCCTCGGAATGGGTATTTCCCCCTAGCGCTCCAACTAATTACTGTACTTCCTGAGAAGATGGTTGGGGTGGATTACGGGGTTCTAACTACCTTTTGAGGTGGTGTTTGGAGCCCTAGGGTACAGTCGTACCTGGTTTTGGTGAGTTTGTTTTCCCATTGTCTATGGTACTTAAAGTTGGGCCAGGTATACTTGGTTTCGCTGATTTATGGTTTGTTATTTTCCCGTAACTGGGTGAATCCCCTGGCATGGGGAAGATGTTTGTGTTTGCCCTGTAGCCCAATGCAGCTCCGTGTTTTTCTAGGTCAACACACCACTAGACGGACAACAGGTTTGCGGTCTGGAGGCTTCCAAACTGATAACCCAGACACCCCGTCGAATCCTGTCGATGCTTATCGACCGCCTCACGCGGTCGAAATGGACGGCTTACATGGACACCGCGTTTGACACACAGACACACACAGAGATGTTATAAGACCCGGGAAGAGCAAGACCATGATAAAACTGTCTTCCTGAAGTATGTCCTTGATACACCACATACCAGGTGCGCGTCATAATTCCATATACCAGGTGCGGGTCAAACATATGTCTTTGTGATGCGGAAAACCGTGGTTCAACCTCTCAGGAGGAACCAGCTGCAAGGTGAAATCCCAGAAGATCTCTACAAACTTGGGGCTTTGGAAGGTCTTTGTTTGCATGACAATCAGCTGACTGGACCAATCCCTCACACCTTTGGACGTCTTCAAGTCCTTGAAACTCTTTTCCTATCGAAGAACCAGCTGACAGGGAGCATTCCCAAGGAGCTTGGCCGTCTCAAAGCCTTGCGCCAGCTTTTCGTTGGGGAAAATCATTTGACAGGCCAGATTCCTGAGGAACTTGGACAGCTGCAGGCACTGCAAGTGCTTCACTTGTCCAACAACAGGCTCAGCCATCGTATTCCCAAGGAGATCGGCCAGTTGCGTGCTTTACGGGAGCTCAACTTGTCTGTGAACGCTCTTGATGGCATCCTTCCCCGAGAACTTTCTGAACTTCAGGATTTACAGCGTCTTGACTTGTCCAAGAACCAGCTGACAGGGAGCATTCCCCAGGATCTTCATCAACTCAAGGCTTTGCGGCAGCTTCATCTCAACAACAACCGACTGGAGGGACCAATCCCCAAAGAACTCGGAGAACTTGGTGACTTGGAACTTCTGTCTTTGTCCGGCAATCATTTGAGTGGCCAAATCCCCAAGGAGCTTGGTCAACTTGAACGATTGAACAAGCTCCTCCTGTCCGAAAACCAGCTGGATCATGAGATACCTGCAGAGCTGGGCAGGCTGAAAGCTGTGCGGAACCTTGATCTTGGCTGGAACCAACTCTCGGGACCTATTCCACCAGAGGTGGGCGAGCTGCGTGAGTTGCGATTTCTCGTCCTGCCCGTGAATCATTTGAGGGGCAAAATCCCCAAGGAACTGGGTCAACTGGAGCACTTAGAAGAGCTGTTGCTCAGTGAGAACCAGCTCTCTGAGGTAATCCCTCCAGAACTGGCGCAGCTTCAAAAACTAATCAGCCTTTACTTAAGAAATAATCAGCTGAGCGGATCTATTCCAAAGGAACTTGGTCAGCTGTCCAAGCTGCAGGTCTTGGACTTGGGCAGAAACCTTCTTGATGGCCCCATTCCTAAGGAACTTGGGGAGCTGAAGGCACTAATATGGTTCGACCTTTCTGACAACCAACTTGGTGACCAGATTCCAAAGGAGCTTGGCCAGTTGCATTTGCTGCGTCAGTTGTGGCTCTTTGGGAATGCTTTGACGGGCGAAATCCCCCAAGAGCTTGGTGAGCTAGAGGCCTTGGAGGACTGTGATCTCTCGGGCAACTTGCTTAGTCAGAATCTACCAAAAGAGCTTGGCCGTCTCAAAGCCTTGCGCGAGCTTGCACTTCGTGACAATCAATTCACGGGCGCCGTGCCCAAGGAACTTCGTGAGCTGAAGGCACTGGAAGTACTCGACTTGTCCATGAACAGGCTCAGCCACCGTATTCCCAAGGAGCTTGGCCAGTTACATGCTTTGCGCAGGCTCCACCTTTCTGCCAACTTGCTTGATGGCCACGTCCCCGAGGAGCTTTGTCAACTTCAGGATTTACAGCGTCTTGACTTGTCCAAGAACCAGCTGACAGGGAGCATTCCCCAGGATCTTCATCAACTCAAGGCTTTGCGGCAGCTTCTTCTCGACAACAACCGACTGAAGGGACCAATCCCCAAAGAACTCGGAGACCTTGGTGACTTGGAACTTCTGTCTTTGTCCAGCAATCACTTGAGTGGCCAAATCCCCAAGGAGCTTGGTCAACTTGAACGATTGAAAGAGCTCTTCCTGTCAGAAAACCAGCTGGATCATGAGATACCTGCAGAGCTGGGCAGGCTGAAGCTGTTGAAATGGCTGTATTTGTCCAAGAACCAGCTTGATGGACAGATTCCCAAGGTGAGCAGCGTTTTTTTGGTTCTCACCATCCCTGGGAAGGGCGACTTCCCAGAAAATCAACTCACAAATTCAAGAGATCATCCAATGGGGGATCCTCCTAGGCCTTGAACAAGTGACATGTTTGGACCAAATTCTGGAGTTTGTTTTCTAGGGCAAGCATGGAAATCCTGGGTTGGTTTCACGATAAGTGCTTTCGTTCAGGGATTTGACCTAAGTGACTCGCTTTCTTAAAATAACCAGGAGCTTGGGCAGCTCAAGTCCCTTCGAGTATTGCACCTCGATCAGAATTGCTTGCAGGGCAAGGTGCCAAAGGAGTTGCAACATCTGAAGAAGTTGAAGCGCTTGGCTTTGTGGCAGAATCAGTTCACTGGACAGGGCCAAGACATGTCGTTTCTGTGGACTTTAGATCTCCAAGTTGTAGATCTCAGTCATAATCTCTTTTGTGGTAACCTTCCCGAGTTGGCCGATGTTCGAACATCCGCTTCGATCAAGAAGCTCAAACACCTGGATTTGAGTCATAACCGCTTTGAGGGAGGCATCTCAAAGCTCACAGAGATCTTTTGCAGGTTAAATCCACCAGGAGGATCCTTACAGGAGCTGCGCCTCAACCACAACAAGCTCACTGGTGCAGTCCCAGCATGCTTGATGCATTTCCGCCATTTGAGCTTCTAGGGTTGGAAGTCTCAGTCCTCCATTTTGTTCGTGTAGGTGACGTGGTGTCTTTTTCCGAGCGTCGTATTGAGAGTCGTATCCTTGGTCGACTAATCTATGGTCAACGCCGTGAATTCGGGGGAGGTGCTTCGGCTTCTTCTACCCAAAATGCCAAGACTGACTCATGGAAAGTACAGATCTCGGACTTGTATTGGGCTTGTGGTCCAATCTTCAAGTGTTTGTAAGTGTGATGCCAGACAGTGAGGGACACAACAGCAAGGCTTTTTGCTTTAACCATATTTAAGCTATGTATATAGATCCTCCTTGCACCACGGGGTAGACCGACCTCAGGGGGCCTGATCGAACCCGAGATGCCGGACCTATAGGGCATTACCCAGTGCGATAAGCACAACACCAGTCTCAGACCGCACTGTTTCAACAAACAATGTGACACGCACAACACACCATATCACAGAATTATACTTAACAACGCCTGGTGACAAACTCAAAAGACAACAGACAAAGACACACACACTCTGACATTGGTTTTCAGTTAGCTCAGTTCCCAAGTCGAGAA